GGGGGGGGGAGAGAAAGAGAGAGAAAGAGAGAAAGAGAGAAAAGAAAGAACATGTGTATGTTTTTAGGGTGCGTGTGATAAGAAGAAAGAGAAACAGGAAATGTCTTTCTTGTTAGGGATTAAAAACAAAGCTCTAGATATGGAATTTAGAAACATATAGGAGATAAACAGAAAAGGGGGTTACATTTGTTTCGATTGAAGCTGATCCCGTATAGCACAGCAAGTAAGAAAACACGTACGAATTTACACGATTATACGTTTCAAGATGTAAAATCTTCCTGAGGATACTTTGGTCGTGCTACGTTGGATCATTTCGTTTCCTACTCTTAAAAAGAGATTCGCTTTTAGAAAATTGATTTGTAACGTAATCCGAATTGTGTGTAACAAAATATTAAGTCCATTGCGGTACTATACATTTACATTCTGTCTTGGAATTTTATCACAAGCTTATACAAATCGTCAAAGAGATACCGGTTTTACGATCTGTATTACAGAAATGATAAAATTTTGTAAACGCCTGTGCAAAAATTAATTTCTCTTTTCACATGTAACGTGTTTCTGGGCATCGCATCTTTCAGTCACGATCGTCGAATGTCAAACTAATTAAAAAGTAAGAATATAATATCATTAGTATCGAGGCATCGTTCACTATTATATGACAAACCATTTGAAATAAACTTTATGTGAATTAAGTATATTATTTCAAATAAGAGTAGCATGCATCGATTTGTCAAGAAAAAATAAAATATCCGAGCATTTATAAGTAAGAGAAAATACACTGAGGACAATGTTTACACAAATATAAGAGAAATAAAAATGTGTAGATTTCGTTCTTCGCAATCTTTGAGGTCGATAACTCGATACTATTACAATCATGCTCTTATTTGTTAAGATTAATACGAGATGAAATTATAGCACTGTCAAGTTATAACATCTATCTATTAAATAATCATTTAACAATATTTTATTCCGATAAAAATGATAGCAATTTAATTGAAGATCTTACGAATTGATTAAATTCGTTTAATTAATAATATAACGATTAACATAATAATGTGATTTTCTTTCTATGATCTCTTGCCATATATTGCACATATTACCCGTAATCTGCATTTGAATATATCGTAGATTTGAAAGACAAGTAATGTATATTCCGCAATATTATGTCAGACACGATATAACAGGAATAAATCTGTTTTCCTTTTCCAAAGATCCTAGGTAAAATTCTGTGCTCTTAATATTTCCCTTTGCAAGCCTTTCGTAGTTACGGTTAAAATGACAATGACAAATTGACGTTACGATCCTGGTTAACATTTAACTTGGTTTAAACCTTATGTTAAACGACCGACGATCATATACATATGTTTATATTGCACGATTATGAGTCGATAGCACGATCTTACAATCTATGACGAATATCTACGCGCTTTTGGCACCTCTTGCATTTGCATATACGCGGACGAGACTTTGCAAGTAAAAGAGAGAGAGAGAGAGCAAACGGGAAGAGAATTTCATCTACTACGATAAATTTTTGGATATATCAATGATTCAACTCTTGGTCACATTAATCACATTTTAAATATGTAAAGATTATTGTTAAATTTCTTCCGTCGAGATGCACTCTCTGCGGGTTTTTCATCGTGTAAAAAAGCTCCTGTGATTACAAAGTGTGCGCCAGTGATAGCGTGTAACAGCGATAATAATAAAAAGAGACATTCTCTGTTACACTTGGTACACACAAGAGCTTTCCTAGCACTATTCCATATATTTATTTATCCTTGCAGACAGAGGATGATCTATATTTATAAGATATGAATGTGATATTAGCGATAGCGATTTCATTGCGATTTACGTCTGTTCAAATTTCAATCTATTTAATATTATGTGAAAGGTGTATGTGCTGAATTATGCACCGTTAGACTCAGACTACACTATACCATAGATACTATCGCGTTCTTCGGTATGTCGTAGCCTGATTCCGTAACACTAATCGCCTACATTATGTCTTCAACTAGAACGAAGAATTTGAATGTTATCGAGAAAGATATGGTACGCTACTTACAATGTGTCTAGATATAAGGGTCATCTTCTTGATTTCACAGTTATTAACAATTATCTTAATCTCACATCCGATTAACTATCGAATGCGTATAAAGTATAATGTATTACTTTCAAAAAACAATTGACAACCGCCGAGGGTACACGCATATGACATTTTCTTCCTCCTCGTTATTATCACTGCGTTTATTCAGCGATGGGAAAAGCAATTAATAATTAACGGAGAGATTGGAAATTATAATTAACCGTTCTTTAAATGAAATGATCAGCGGTAGCAGGATTGCATGTTTGAAACGTAGAAAAGCCCGTTTCCCGAGAAAATTCTTACGCGATCTCTTCGGTGAGATTGCTTTTAAATTTCTTAAATTTAATCGTTCAATATCACAGATTCGATCGTAATTTTTGCGATGCATGTTAACCGAGCCAAAATTTGTTCAATAATACAATCCTGTAAATTTCTAAACTAATTTGTAGCATAACGCGAACGCGATATTAAGAGTGAGAGGAAAATATAACCAATTATTCGTATAGATTAGGTACTACGAACATAAATGTTTATGATTGTAAGTTGCTCGCAAGGATGTAATGAGGAAAAGGAAACATAAGAATCTAGATCGCTGTTGGCGTGTACCGCCGATAGGCATCTCCCTCCTCTCTCACTTCTATATCTTTATGCGTTTTTAATTACTCCCCATTGAGGAGCATAATCGTTCGTCTTTTCTAACTTTAAATTGGCCTAAACGGTAGATTACTTCACTATAATTGCATTATGATAAAAGCATGTATAAATCAGTAAACCTTTTTCTTTTGTGCTTCTTAGAGATCATACATGATACAATGTACAAAGTAGTGTAAAATAAAAAAAGGGTTAATAAAGATTTATATATATTACTTAATCGTCAAGTAGCGGTTTATCACGAGCGGGAAACAACTTTCATTGACCACTGACCTGTTTCCAGAAAATATTTCGAAAGATTTCAAACACAAATACGCTATCCACAAAAACAATACAGATCTGACATCACGTATGGGTTATGAGATAACAAAATGTACAGCATTTTAACGAGATAAAAATATTTGGCGTATAAATCTACTTAAGTTCATACGCTGTAAATAAAATTTACAAACATTTATACATATTGACGCGCGTTTCCCTGCAAATCTGCCAGTGCCCAAGAAGTGGTACCCCAATATGTCAAAGTGTCTTAAGAATTAATCACGACACCAGGACAGAATTTATTTTATCCTACGCAATAGTCGACACGAGTGTTGGTAAATGAGTAAAATTTCTTCCCTTAAAGTCGATCTAATCTAAAGTGGGCTTCGGCGCTGGAATCCGATATAACCATCGTAGGGTCAGCGAGCATTTGTAGCCCATCCACATCGATCGGATCAAGGCCCTGTCTGAGGGCATCGTCCGATGGGAACATTTCCGGGTCAAAATCACCCATCATTGCCGTCCCGAGGTCTTTCACAAATTCCGGGTTCGTAAGATCATCCGCACCAGAAAAATCTGCAACACAAACATTTTTTTCTCCGTTTTATCGAACCGATTTTTACCATAAAACGTTATCAGAGATGAAATAACTTGTTCAAAAGTAAGTAAACAGTTTTCTGCCACACGAGACACAATTAACACGTCGTCTGCTCAACATTTTGTCTTACTTTTATGTCGTAATTAATTTCCATTATTATAAGCTAAAGCGTACAATGACAAAATACTATATATCATCACGGTAAACGTGTTAAAAAGTCCCGAAACACATCAACGCGATAATACCTGTGAGAATGATCGTAGGTGTGTTTGGAGTTTGCGGGGTGAGCTGTTGAGTAGCGGTGGTCGTTGTCGTCGCAGGTTGATACGCCATTTGCGGACTCGTGCTGAAGTATCCCGTGTCTGCGCTGCCTAATTCGCCACCGACATTAATCACGTCGTTCTGGGGCAGACGGGATTAAAGAATTAAACAATGATAAAAGGTATTACGATTCGGTCACAACTCGGTGTTTCTTTCGTCAAGACATTTTGCAGAAATTTACAAGACGCTGATCTTCTTACCTGCGTGTAATTCGTAGTATGATTTGGTGACCCGATAAACGTCCCAATCGTGTTCGCCTGCACCGGCGTGTCCATCTGAAGTAGAGAAAAAAAGAAAGGAAGTCGTAGAGATGAGCCTGGCATCGTTGAAAAGCCTCGGGGAAGGATTACCGCGGCTGCGATCTAATCCGATCCGTCTTTAAGCGAATGTAACGTTGATTCGTCTCGCGTGTAACGCGCGTCTCCAGCCCTAAATGCTTTTTATAGAATGATCCGCGAGGGACACCGTAGAACGCGGGAGGGAAAACAGCGGAAGAAGAGTATGAAGAGAGAAATAAATACAAAATCGAACCGTAAGCACGTAAGCTCGTGCTCGCTCGTTGCCTCCTTCGACTTTGGAATCTATCGCGACGCCGGTTACCGTTTCGATTCCCGGATACTCCGTTTCCCTTGTTAAATGAAATCCGTTTTCGCTTAGTCGGCATCCACGAGAGAAACTTATTGTTTCGTCCTACACGTCTGTCACATTTCGCGTACACAAGTTTCCAGCCGGCCGCATCTGTTCGCTTATTTAATTTCTTCAACTTATCCCGAAATGACTGTTCGGCCCGAAAAACACTCGCTCTTAGATTCTCTGATGCAATATCGAACGGCGATCCATGCGAACGAGGCTACTTGGTTTGAACATGACGCTTTTTATCTCGTAACACATCGTCTTTTTCATTCCAGCACTTAAACCGACGGCTCGGCGTGTAACTGTCCACGCAATATCAAATGCCATGATAATGGCTACTTGTGCGTGTAACGAGGAGGGAATAATAAAGGGGGTATCGTTAAAGGCCCTCCGTGTGATAAAACTAGTCCTGCGGCGCAGCACGCACGACGGCAACTTTGGCATGTGCATATGTAACAACGCGTTACCGAGTTTCGCGGGATATCAATTGAGAGTACGTTACGAATCGCGATTATTATTAGCCTCCTGTACCCCCGATACCGCATAAAATAGCCGCTATTACGTATATTTCTTCCCGTTGACGGGTTTTTTTTTTAACAGCGCATTTAAATTTCCCCTTCGATCGGGATAATGTTTTAAACATCAGCGTACAGTGGCATGATACCTCACCGCGAATATTTCACCTTAATCTACAAATATTTCACCCCCCTCTGAAATCTGATCTCTATTTTTTTCTTCGCCGCACGTGCGAGCGAGTTCCATGCACGGAAATACATTTGGCGTGTTTATACGCAAAGCCTCCGCTGTTCGAAAGTACCGTGAGAAATATGCGGCACTTGTATAAATTCACAGTTCTATTTTAACACACTTACTAAGCAGCTTACGAGATACCGTATTAATTATTCACCTCCCCCTTGATTCAACAGACTCTGTCTAAAATGATATTTAATCTACTCTCCTACATCGCGAGGGTAACAATGTTTCTACGTTCGAGCTTTAACAATCACAATACAGCACGTGTAATAACAGACATACAATTATCAATATTATAATTCTCGAGGAAAATACTCTTTGCAAGCCTCGCGCGAAAGGCGTACCACGACGCAACGCTGAACATTGTTGTCTCGGTACTGAATTTGCAAATAAAAATGTTTCAACTAATGGCGATATTTCACCTCTATCTGCGTGGTCCAGGTGCAACCGAGTTCCATCAGCTGCTGCGCAAATTTGGGCCACTCCTGACGAATGCAGGCAACAGATAAACAACAAGACTTAAGACTACAAGTCTAGAGGCAATATAATCAAATCATAATCATACAGCGTCTTTTACAAATACAGCTAAATTTTCGTCAAAATCTATTGTTTTTTTTTCCAACACTTGACGCGATCGTAACCAATTGCGATTTACAATTGCATAATAGGTGCATTGCATTAAATAAAAAAAAATCGAGAATCATAATTTGAGGCCTTTTGAAGAACGGAACGTTTGACGATGTAACCGAGTAGAATATCAAGTGACTCCGGCAGAATAATTCATACGAATCATTCACTTGGAATAATTCATCGCGTAGCATTAATTATAACTTTAAAGGTCAAATCGCCTGAAGAGTAATGCATATTATATGTACTGAAATTCGCAAAGCCAATCAGCTTGCATGAAAAACGTGAAAAACGAGAATTCATATGTGCGCGAAAACTTACACATTAATGATCAACATCTAAACAAGGAAATCCAAGCCGATACTTAAAATTGCAAAGCGAATTAAGTTAAAATACAACCGTTTTGTGATTCTATTTGCGTCTCATCGAAATTTCGATTAATGCCGTTAATATTCATGTTTGCCTTCATTTCGCTTTTAACCCTTACTATTCATTAGATACGAGCAGTTCAGCGGCAAATACTTACCAGTCCCTTCGACATGCATAAAAAAAGATTGAGCGCCAATTAGGATCGGGTATCCCTTAATTAATTATAATTGGAAAATTGATCATAGTTTACATAATCACGACTGTCAGGTGAACGAATTCAGATCGGAATTGGAGAACTACATTTTTCGCGCCCGTATCATTGCGTGAGCAAACTCAACGACGAAAAAAAAAAAACTTTAATTAACGACGACCTCTCGCGTTTGACAAAATATCACTTGCTTTTACCGGGAACAGTGAAATATAAACGCGCGAGTATTTCCGACATTACGGTCACGCGTATACTTATTACAAGTAAGTCACAGCATGCGTAACTCGCGCACACATACACACACACATACATATATATACACTCTCTCTCTCTCTCTCTCTCTCTTTTTCTCGGCGAAAACTCGAATGCAATTGTATGTCGAAATACCGTATAAAAACATGCAGCACGTGCGTATTATGTTTCGGTCGCGAGCTCTAACGCAATTCGGACAGGATTGACAAGGTTGAACGATTCGCGGATTTCGCACGTCGGCAATTTCGGAACGATCGTGAAGATCCGTTCCATAAGAGATGGAACAATCCCTTGTCTAGGATAGAGCCTCGACGATAAAAATAAGAAGCGCCGAACGTACGACTGGACCACTGCCAATGTGTCGATCGAATATTTCCGATAGCTTGGAAAACTTTTACTTTCCCTCACCTGAATGGATAAGTTCGAGCGAGCCGGTATTTTAACTTTACGAAACAACTTGGACTCAACCGGTCTAACGTGAAAATTTAAGGCTTGTTTTTCGGAGATGTCCGCCCGGTGACACACTTCGCGAACTCAAACGAACGAGTCAATCCCTTTACCGCAGTCACGCTTAAAAAAACGAATGACTCACGTACCATTGTGAACTGTTCGAAATCCTGCTGGAGGGCTGCCGCTTGCGCCTGATTGATGAAATAAGTATTCTGATCGATAGCATCGGACGTCAAGCTGGGTGGACCCGGATGTCCTGTAGGACTAGGCGGCGCCGATGGATTATTGCTATAACTTAAGGGACTTCCCTGAAAAAAGGAATGCGCGCTACTTTCAGACTCGTTACTCGCGCCAAGCTGTTGTTGCTATTATTATTACAGACTCGACAACTTTTCTCACGTTGGATAAAATTGTGCAAGTCTCTTGCACTTGTTAGACCATTGTAACGGAGTGACTCTACGTAACGCGTTGCCATCTACATGATGACATTTTGAAAATTGATATCGTAGGGAGATAAAAGGCTCGTTATTAAATACTTGTTATCTATCGATATTTTATGATAAGAGATGATCTCACTTGAACGGTTAGACTAGGTGACGATTGCGGCGACGGCCTGTTCACCGACTGCGTGGATCTGTACGATCCCAACGAATTGAGCTGCGATTGTTGATGTTGTTGATGCTGTTGATGTTGATGTTGCTGCTGTTGCTGCTGCTGTGACGTTTTCTGCATATTGAGTATCAATAGATGTAGTAAAAAGAGCTATTAGCGGCAATCACTCGTAAAACTTATATAACAACATTGGAGTTGCACCAATCGACATTTTCTATCTCTTAGACCGACGTTTTGTTCTCTTCGAGGGAGGATATTATTTCGTCCATTCGGTATGTAACTGATTAAATGGCTTAGACGCTTATGTATGCGAGAATAGATCGGGACTATATTTAAATGCAATTTACAGATGCGCGTCCGAGTATTTATAGTGATACTTAATAGTACTCGCATTACGATAATAATTTTCGAAACGCCCGACTTTGTCGGCCGGCATACTAACTGGACTCTGCGGCACAGGACTGTGCGGTTGTTGATAAATGTAATGGCCAGCAGTCGGGCTGTGAGACGTCGCCGCCGGCGCCGGTTGCTGCGGATAGCTCTGAAGATCCTGTTGCGAAGTACTTGTGCTGTTTTCCAATGCCACACCCTGCTTCATACCCATCGCTATTAACGATCGATCGTCGCTCTGTCGCCTCTTTCGTTTTGCGCTCTCTCTCCCCCCCCTCTCTCTCTCACTCTCTCACAAACACACACAAACATACATACATATACATTCTCTCTCTCTCTCTCTCT